GTACTTACATATGTGTACACGGCAGGTGGTATCCAGCTCCATTGTGGACAAGTATATTGGTGAGAGTGCCAGGTTGATTAGAGAGATGTTCAACTATGCCAGAGACCACCAGCCTTGCATCATCTTTATGGATGAGATTGATGCCATCGGTGAGTAATGCCTAGAATCTACTTGTCTTTCCTGGGTCTTATGGATTTAATTTAGGTTTAATTGTTATTTAAGGCCGTGTGCCTTCTCTCATCTACTCTATTTGTAGGTGCACTCACACCTTTATGTACTAGCTGATTATACCAATTGTTAATGAGTAAAAAGGTGGTTGTCTAAAGATTGAATTTCTTTTTTTTTTTGTCAATAAAAGTTTGGTAATTTGGAAAAGCAAGAAATAATTTCTACTAAACTACATGAATAAAACGACGTATAAATGTAGCTTTAAGAAAAACTGAACAGTGATCATTATATCTCAGTTAAGCAATTATTATTACAAACTGGGAGCTTCACATAAACACACAGATTTAGAGCACCCTGAATCTTGACCACGTGTTTTGTCTTGTATGTGCGTTATTCAATGAAGGTGGCCGTCGTTTCTCTGAGGGAACCTCTGCTGACAGAGAGATTCAAAGGACACTGATGGAGGTAACACAGACACGCTTGTGGTACAATATGTGACATAAGAATTGGAGGAGTGCAAATTTCTTGATTCTTAAAAGCATCACATTGTGGATGTGGACGACTCTGCGTTGATGCAGTGACTGAAGATAATTGATTCATGTTCTTCGCTGCGTTCATTGTTTTAGCAGTTTTCTGAAAATAGGATAGGATAAATGCTCATTAAAGGTCAGGTCGTCCTCTATGTGTCAGAGTCTCTTCCCCTATGACCTATGCTCACTTTACACTTTACCAATAAACACCATCACTGACAGTTATTAGGACACAAACAGGACTGATGTTTCGTTTGTTTGTTTGAATTGCTCTAGATCTTATTAGACACATTAAGACCTGCTACACTGACCACTGTCATAGACTTACTGTTGTAGTCTGATTTTTAAATTGAACCCTAACCCTTTTTTTGTAAATTACAGCCCATTTGTTATAATAGTAACAATCTATAATACTTTCTAAAGCACTTTCTAAATAAAAACTGAGTTCATATTTGTTTGACTAATGAAAAAGCAATCTAGTGAAGATGCACACCTCATAATAATAATAATACTAATAATGGGTTATTGAGTCTAGATTGATTAGCAAAAATGCATTTTTTTGCAATTTTGCTATCAATCAGGCTTGTTCACAATCAAAGCAGCAGTATGGGCCAAAATATTTGCTTAAATGAGAAAAAGTATGTGTTGAGACAGGTGTGATCCCATTCAAAGGTGTCCTCAGTGTCTTGATATCAGTGTCTGGGACATTATGGCCACATAACAGGTCCTCTACACAGTTCTCCCTTACCCACTGCACTTTCACAATGAGTGGAAAGTATTAAACTATATATGTTGATTTTCAAGTGGCCACTGACACAATATCAACAATGAACACTTTGAAGTTTTTTTCCCAAAACAATTTCCTGGTAGGGCTGCAGTGCATTGATTAACTCGGCTCTTCATTACTCCTCACTCTTCTTGCCAGTCTTCCCCATCTGAATGCCAATGTGCCCTTGGGCAAGATGCTGATGCACGAATTGCCCCTCATAGAAAAAAGTGCTGCTTAATAGATGCAAAGTAAAGAGCTTATGTTAAAGAGTTATATATACAAATACAAACCATTTACCAACTCGTAAACATCAAAATGTCTAAAAAGCTCTTTGCAGTTGTAGAAGCTTGTATTTACAGACAAACAGAATGAGAGCTGAAGCAAAATATCGTCCGTCTGCAGACTGCTGTGAGCAGCATGTTTGACTCTGTCTGTAAACTAAAAACTGCATCGCTGGAGCATTTTCTTGAAAGGTGTAACTTATTATTAGTAGTCGTAAGTGAAACTCTGAAAGTCAGTGCAATAGATTCATTAATAAAAGGCAGTGATTGAGTTGTTTAATGTACTGTGTGTGTGTGTTGCTTCAGCTGCTAAACCAGATGGACGGCTTTGACACGCTGCACAGAGTCAAGATGATCATGGCCACCAACAGACCTGACACTCTGGATCCCGCCCTGCTGCGACCTGGCAGACTGGACCGTAAAATCCGTAAGATCTCCTTCTGTCCCTGTTGAGGACCTGTTTGTAAGCTCTGTATGACGGCACACGGCTAAACAAATTTCTTATTGTGATCTTCAGACATTGAGCTACCCAATGAACAGGCTCGCCTGGACATCCTAAAGATCCACTCAAGTCCCATCACCAAGCACGGAGAAATAGGTACGGGACCCCTGGTGTAAACATTCAAACACAAATGACCCTCACAGTAAAATTCAGTTCCATATCGTCTGTCCTTGTCCCCTCACTTGTCCTCATCCAAATTTGATGCTGCACATGTGGTTTCAGAACTCGTGGTGCACACTACTGTGTAATACACTTAATTTTGGATTGAGAACTGATCATTTACATGAGTGATCATTCTGATTTTTATGTGATTCTCTGACATTTTGCACAATGGATTGTTTTATGTTCCATTTTGTAATGAGACAAGTAATTGGAGATAATTAATAACAGTTCTTTTGGAGCTAAACTAATTATATTGGCAGTTGGTCAACAAAATGTCTTAAGATTTATTTTTCATTCATCGTTTGACTTTCCTTTCTTGGATATTTCACAGAAACAGAAATTTCAAAATGTAGTTTGAACAATTTTTGTATTTTGAGCACAAACACAATTATTCATACATTCCACTCAGGGTGACAATATTTGAAAGTGCCACGTTTGCACAAGGTTCACTAGTCCTCCCTGCAGATGTCATAAATCACTTCTGTTTAAGTTGATGCCAAATCAGAGTAGCTAATGCCAAATGTGCAGTGTCTGCACAGCGATGTTAATGCATAGGCTCACATGGGTTACCGTAACTAATTTCATCAAATTAATGAACCATGTGTAATTGCAGTAGCAGCGCTCATAACTCCTTTTAATGGTGAACTTGCATAGCAAAAATTTTCCTTGTGCTTATTTTCAGATTATGAAGCCATAGTGAAACTGTCGGATGGCTTCAATGGAGCTGATCTGAGAAACGTGTGCACAGAAGCAGGTGGGATGTGAAGCTTTCTTTCAATATAATCATTCGTTTGATTTTTCTCAATTCGTGTTGTCCAATAACATCTGTTGTGTGGTTACAGGTCTGTTTGCGATCCGTGCTGACAGAGAGTATGTCACTCAGGAAGACTTCATGAAAGCCGTGCGGAAAGTGGCTGATTCAAAGAAGCTGGAGTCCAAGCTGGACTACAAACCTGTATAATCCCTCTGTGTGTCATAGTCATTTTCTCTACCTGATCTTTTTCATTACATTGTCGTTAATTTGCTGTATTCTATGCTACAAGGCCAGAGACAACAGGTTTTTGTTTGTGGGAAGCAGCATTAGAAAGAGGACATTGTCCTAACAGCTGCCAACAAATGACTTTCACTCATTAACTCCTGTTTCCACTTATATAAAGTAACTTCATGTACTGAAATATACCAAACTGTTGTAAGTTGTGTGCTTTTCACTTTCTTCTGTCATTCTTTTGTCTCATCACTGTCTTCTGAGTGTGGTGGAAACTCATCGGTCTCCAGAACTGATTCAACACATGGTGTTTCGAGTGGGAAACTTTGTTTCTGATCTTGCAAATAGTAATTGACAAAAGGTATTCTTGACTCACGGTGCTTTTACTATCTTATGCTGACCAACCTCCCTTTCAACACTTTCACATGTTAAGTTCACAATATGAGCCACATGGACCATCAAACCCTGGTCGTCTGTGTGACTGTATGGACCTTGTAGCACCCTCTGTTGATTGTCATTCAATCCATACCCAGACAAATGGGTACTGGTGTTTCCTCACTCTTTACAACAGAATACATGCATGTCAAATTGATCTCCAGTCCTTTTAATTCTTCCTCAAAGCTCCTGGTTTACAATCACCTTCATGTACTTGGAGTCAGATGAAACATTAGTATTGGCTGTGGTTAATAAATACTGCACTGATGCTGTAAAAATTCAAACTAAGCAAAAACAAAGCAAATACATTCATATCGTGGATATTTAAATAAGCTGTACATGAGAATATTACAATATTGTGTGAGAATAAAATTATGCAGCTTTGTTTAGCCACAATATATTCAATAATATATACTATGTAGCTCATAATATACCAATACTAAAATCATTTTAAAAAAATATTTCCAACTACCAACTGACCAGTTCAGCACGGATAGAACCACAGTACATATGATGAATTTGACTGGTGGCACAGCAGCAGGAATGTTACAGCTCCATTACCTATTTAAAAGCATGAGTTATCTTTAAGGAATGTTTTACCACTGTTGACATTTTGACATCAGATGTAAGGGACTTAAGCTTGCTGTAAGTCCAGCTGCTGTTAGACTGAACTCACTATATTCATTCAGTAGTCAGTGCAGTCTATCAGGAAAATGGCAAATGGACTGTATTCATATAGTGCTTTCCTAGTCTTGACCACTCAAGTTCTTTACAGTACCATTCACACATTCATATAGTGCATCGAATTGCTCTACCCCTCGGCCACAGTTGCCCTACAGCATAGTCACAGTGACTGTGCTGGAGGCAGTCTAATGGAGTGGTCAGTGTTGTTTACAGCTGCTGCAGTGTAACTTACTGATTTAACTCATAATACATGTCTACAGTCCAACTGAACTTTTCCAATTATGGTTCCATTTATGGAAACTGGGTGTAAAATTATGTAAATTCAGAGTTTCTTTAGCAGTGATGACTGCCTCACTGCATATTATTTAATAAGTGACACGGTCACATCCCACACTGAGTGGGGAGTCACGGTGCTGCAACTGGTTCCTGTGTCAGGACGAACGACTCCAGGACAAATGCCCTGCAAATGGGGCAGTGCTGGAAGTGTGACATACAGCAGTCACACACACAGGCGTGTCTGCAGGGCAGCAGCACCCTGTTCACTGCTGCATTCTGACAGACCACGCAGTCTCTGCCCGACCCTTCCGACCAGTCCTCGTCCTCCAGCACAGGACTCTGCTCCAGACTGTGTGCCGCCTCTGTGGGTTCACTGGGAGAGGTGCTCTGCTCAGAGTCAGGAGGCCCCGGCATCCCCCCGCTGTCAGTTGACATGAACAGAGGCTGCAGGAGACAGGAGGCGTAGCTGTATCACAAAAGGTACTTTGAAGGTCATAGTTGAGAAAAACTGATGCTAACAATTACATGGCAGAAACATATCAACACGGAGGATTAGAGCACATCATGTGGTACAACCTGTCACGTGACAGGTTCAAGTGATGTGGAGATTGCACCTAAATTGTCACTGAGAATAAATCAATATCCTACCAGTGTTACAGAGTGATTTTATTATGCAGCCTAAAAGTTCTGTTTGCATAATAAATGACATCATTTGAATCCAAAGTACAATACACTTTGAAATGGAGCTAATTTCAATTCCCTGACAACATTGTTTCAACCTCCTCTAAACATCGAGATATTTGCTAAGGAGCCTCCAACTACAACTCAATCGCAACCGCGGTGATGATATCAAGGTTACCTTGTGTAAAGCTTAGTCAGTGACAAAACACAGATCAATTTTTGCCTCAGTGTCCTCATGTAACAATATTCGATGCAACAAACTCCTTCAGCTAACCGCTGACTTCATACAAAGTATGACTGTGTGAAAAAAAAAAGTTACAACCTGCTTGAACCAAAAAGTGCATTACCTTTAACTCGAACATGTTCCCCTGTGAGGTCAGAAGGTATTGAAAAAGAATCCGAGCAGAAAGGCTGTATTTGTCATCGGGAACATGAATAACGGTCACACTGGCCACCTGAAAGAGGCAAAACAGCAAAAAGACTTCCTTTAAATGTAAATGTATTTAATTGGTTGTTGCTGTGATCAGGTGAGTGTGCATGTGTGTTGGGACAAAACAAAGCTCCTGACTTACATTGGCCTCTGGTCTCAGATTGTTCAAAGTGGTGAAAATACAGAGATGAAACTGAGACACTGACTAAAGACATGGTTTTGATCACAGTTGGACCTTTGTCAGGTGAAAATGCTGATGAAAATGACCGACACACTGTCTTTCAGGAGTCAGTGTGCAGGCATTACTCTTTTCATTGAGTAATATGTATACAACCCCACCTCCTTCACTCTCCTCATCTGACACTTCCCCACATGTGTAGATGTGAGATGGACTCACAATGTTGTACATGTCTCTAGCTTCTGGCTCTGCCAACGTCAGCACAGCCACAAGAGGGTAGTGTGCCCTTGGCAGCAATCCAAAGTCTTTGATCCCCTGTTCAGCAGGAATCTGTGTGTGGTGTTCCTCGCTGTTGTCACTGCTGACACTGGGAGGATGGAGTCAAAGAGGCTGACAAGGAACAATGTATATCAGTCAAAAAGATAACTGCCTCAGCCATCAGGGACATATATAATATGTCACTATGATAAAATGACAGCACTGACTGCTGGGGGGGTGCTTTTGTGCTGCCCTGTGCTAATACATATTGGAGACACATTTCCACAGAGAAGGGGCCCAACATGGATGGGATATAACCTCAGGATAGTTCCACTGCAGCTATAGTGAAGACAAGAACAGAAAAATAAATAAAATAAATGGAGGATGAGCATCACAGTGACATGTGATGTCATTGTGTTGTCATCGTCAGCAAGCGCAGTTTAAAACAAATAGGGTGTTAAATTTAGGGTTGCGGTCTCAGCAAAGGCTCATAGTCCATACAATGCACTTCCTTGGGTCCTCAGAAACACATGCCCCAAGGTTAGAGTTGATCAGACGAGTGGTTGTTAAAAAAAATCAAAGAATGGGCAGACAGAGACAGACGGAAAAACAGTTTGACTGAGATTTCTGTAGTAATAATGAATTGACTTAATGATGTGATTTGCGATGTACTGAGAGACACTCACTAAAAATATTTTATATGTTTATAAGAAAGGGGGTCAGGGGAAAAGGGTCTGGCTTCAAACTTCAAGCTCTATATATTTGTTGGGGAAGTCTTTATATTTTAGTATCAACTTTGATGATTTAATCTGGGACGTCACAGAATGTTGCAGTGTGTTCGTAAATGGAACCCTTTTTCTCCCATCGGGACATTTTTTGTTACCCTACTCACTGACAGGCACAGTCTGTTTCTGGTGAGTCTTTGTTATGACTGTAAAGGATACTGGAAACTCTGGCAGTGGTGGTAACGTAGGTGGAAGGCCTCCTGAAAATGTTGGGGGGTGCTGAGCCTCGGCCCGTGCTGGTGAGCTTGCAGCGCTCGCTGCACGGCGATGACCTCACATCCCCAGAAACAGCTCAGGATGCAGGGCTCCAGACAAAAAGGTCTCACTGACGCACCATCTGCAAGGGAATGTTTGCTAATGTCACCATGGCCCAGGACATGAAAGGAAAGGATACAACTCACAGGTAGTAATACTGAATAAATACAGGCTGGGACATCTGGAGGCTTGAAGATTAATTACTGTCCATATTAATAGCTATCCAACTGGTTAATTGGCGATGTTCACAAATCACAAATGCTTTCTACTCCACAATGGACCCAGAACACATATATATGTATTCAGTAACCAGAAATGATGAACTAAGGAGAACTTACAGGGCCAGATCATTGTCCTGTGAGGTCCCTGGGCACATGTCTTATGGAGCCCCCCTTCCTATATTGGTGTCTTTCTTGCCTACCTCCTCGCAAAATCATTCAATGCTGACAAGATCAGACTCTATTGATATCAGTGACAATGAGCTGAGATGTTTGTCACATGCTAAATATACCGACATACTGACAAACTGGGAGGATTGTAGCTTAAATCAAGGGAGAAATTGTTCGCTAAACAGAAATCAAATTGTGCCTTTGACGTTCGTTTCAAGAACTGCTAGCATAACAGTTGGCTGGTGTCGTAATTACATGCACTCGGTGGTTAGCGTAATAATAATTTCACAATGAATACGGCTTCAGAATTTACAGTTATAATGTGACATGGGAAGGAATTTATGTAGGCAAATCAACGTCATGTTAGAACCAAGCGTTAACTGACTGTATAAAGAACGATTATAGACTGCCCCAAGAAGAAGGTCATTGGCTCCCTCTGCTCAATATTTGGCTGGTTGTTGAATTGGGTTTTGATTACATATAAACATCAACTTAAAAAATAATAAATTTCAATACTTTTATTCCCTTTAAAACTGCTTTTATATAATCTTGCCTCGTATTTTTTATGCTCTATTAAGATAATATAAAAAAATTTGCCCACATATATAATCAGATTACTTAAAGATGCACGCCATAATATCCAAAAATGCCATAGTCATTTCATCAATCATCCAATCCAATCATTATTATTGTTGTTATCATTAAGATCATTATCTTATTATAATGCCAAGTTTGTTGATCAAATGATCAATAGTCAATTAAGTTGCTATCTAACTAGTTAGACAGCTGAGTTTTAGGCCTATAGCTATTTAACTAGCTGGCTTTTTAGTGCAGCTAATTTGGCTGTACGAAAAAAATGGCAGCTAGCTAACTAATTTCTGTTAATAAGCTTAATCATATCGGCAGCTAGCTAGGGAAAAGGTGCAGCTAGATAAAACAAAGGGATAGCTAGTTATGGTAAGTCATAAGACAAACAGCTTGCCATTATATGACGTGCTTCAAACTGTCCTGTTATGCAGTTTGAACTGACTTGCTGGTGAATATTGTCACAGTTTATTGTAGCAAGTCAACCAGTTGCTCCATTGTGCAGAAGCCATGTACTCTCCTAGGCTCTGGTTTTACTGCACTGTAGGATATGTACCCTAGTGGTTAGCTCATTCTTAAGCACAGGGCCTAAGGGTATGTACCAAGGGACCCAGGTGTGACACTTGATGTATGTACTGAGGGGCCCGGGGGCCCTTGTTGTGAACTCAGGGTTTAACCGTGGAGAGGCCCAGGGACGCTCACACTGTAGGTGCTGAGGGGCCAAGGGCCCTACTGGTCAGCTAACATTTCAAACACCAAGGGGTCTGGGGGCACTCACATTGTAAGCACTGAGGGCTCTGGGGGGCCCTAGTAGTTAACTCATGCTATAAGCACCCAGGTTGGCAGTCCGAGACCTCGGGGCACTAGCCTGGTAAGTAATCCAGCCTTCGGTACTTACTTTAGTTTGTTGGGTACAGACATCCACACATGGGAGCTTTACAAAACCTCTTCTACACATGCGGTACAGGAGGGGTTAACTCATCCCCTCTTATGTCTTTGTTACATTTGGTCGATAGTAAGAGCATTTCAGAAACGTAAAATTCAGGTTAAGACAAATTACCATTCCCGGTCACTCTCTATATTATTGATAATGATGGTTCTCACCAGTGACAGATGCTGTCCCTGAGCCCATCTCCAAGGCGAAGGGATTCGTCACCTGGACCATTTGCTTCTCAGGGGTCGGTAGGATGGACTCCGTCTCATCTGAGCTACGAAGAATCGCAGGGACATCGAAGCCAAACCTGCAGGACGGAGACCCAGTGAGTACAGTGCAAAAGTAATTGTCCGTTCTCTCTTCATCTTATATCAGGGAAAAATGTGTTGTTCTCATCTTTTGAGTCAGACCCACTTTACTGACTTAACTGAAATGCTGTGGATCTCTATGGCTTTTGTCTGCACACCACAAACATCCAAACTGAATGGGGAAACTGCCATAAAATGCAGTGACGCATATTTATGAACTATCCACAGAGTTTCATCTTGTATTAGTTAAGTGCTGCACAGTCCCTGCCATGCTGTGATCACCTCTATAGTTATTAGTAGTCTGCCTCATATTTGGCAACAAATCTGTAACCTATTAATGATTCCACTCATTAATCCTGATAGATGATTCTCTTATACCTGACAGTACACATGCTACTTTGTGATCCCAGCTCTGGTATCACTCTGTGCTAGATCCAACAGACTTTCATTTCACCAGCACAAAATCACTGGTTGGTCGAGGGGCACCTAATCCTTGTTAAACATTCACTGTCAGCTCATTGGATTTGAATGTGTGAAAATGTGGCAGTGGTGAATTATGGTGTCATGAAAACCATGGAAAAGCTGTGAAAATAAAACATCCAGCTGCTGCCAATAGCTGTGGCTAAGCTAACTTGGCTAAATATCACTTACCAGCCGAGCACCACGGCAGCGGTAACAACGAAACACAAAGACACCACACTGATGTAGAACACAGGGGAGTACTCGTACAGCGTGACCAGGAACACAGCTGCCATTTTACATTGCTTGAGTCCGAGAGAACAGCAATTTATTAAAAGTAAACTCGCTCGGTCGCGGCCATGACACCAACACCACAGATCGCACTACGGTGGCCGAGAAGGTCACAACATATGCGCAAACACTGGGTTTCATTCTTATATTCTACATGTTTCAGTTTGAACGCAAGGGAACTCAACAGTCGCTTCAAAAGAACACGCTGGTATGAAATATTTGACCGATTGATCTCAGTCACAACACGAGGTCGTTGTGTTCAGGACTATATACAGTCTATGGTTCAGGATAAAAAAAAACCTAGATGAGTAAAGCGCGTGAGACAGCCACAGTAAAACATCCGGCCTCACAATAAAATCCCGTCTATGGAAATAGACTTGATGGAGCTGTTATCTGGCTCAGCTCTGAAAGACACAATACACCTGCACGGACAGTTGTGTTTTCATTCAATACAGTCCTCTGCACAATGTTCAGCATTATACTACAATAGTTCTTTTGTTGTGGTGTGGATTTAATTTTGAATGTCCAAACAGGAAACTGGTTTGACAGTATGGAGCCGCCGAGATTACATCCGAGCTAGTACCGTTCATAGATCGTCCCGGCAGTCATCACGGAGCCCGGGCACGGCAGTGTGCACAGCAGCTGCGGTGTGTCAGTCTGGACCAGTGTTTGTAAGCCTGCAGCTGCTATGTTACGGAACATAATCGTGCTCAGAACGGTCCGGTATACAGATGTTAGCAGCTGTGGAGGACGACGCCTTTAATCCGGTGTAACAGTCCGACGTCGGAGCATCATTGTGTCAATGTGCTGGATCTAACGAGCTGCGGCCGGACAGTGGGCGACATGACGGAGGAAGCGACCATCCGCCAGCAGAGCTCGGAGAATAACTCCGTCAGCAGCAGCGAGTGGGACATGGCAAATGATGTGTTTGTGTCCAGCTACGACGACAGTGCTGCTGCTGAGGACCAGGATCCAGCGCAGCCCGGCTTGGAAAGACACCTGCCGCTGCTATCCCAGGGTGGCATGATGCTGGGCCTGACCGGGGAGGAATATCCGGCCTCATCTTATCTGGACATGGACCCAAACTACACCGAAAGTGATGGGAACGTATCAACCAAGAAGCGCATACGGTCCAACAGCTCCAGGCACCGCGGTGACATCGTCACGGAGCTGGGGCCAGAGGAGGTCCGCTGGTTTTACAAAGAGGACAAGCGGACTTGGAAGCCATTCGTTGGGCACGACTCTTTAAAAATCGAGATAGTTTATCGGAGATTCTGTGAGCAGAACCCCAACAAGGTCAAACGCCCCGTCGATCCCACCGAGGCCGAGGGGAAGGAGACGACCAGGTCCGACGAGATCGAGCAGGAAAGCGGGGCCGGGGACGGTGGAGGTGTCCGGGCGGAGCCGCCGGTGAATCGGGGCGGAGGACAGCGGCGCACGGCGTCAGAGGAGATGAAGGATCCGGACGACATCAGCATCAGCGTGGAGGCAGTGTGTGTCAGAGGGGGGCTCTATGAAGTGGACATCAGAGAGAAGGAATGCTATCCCGTTTACTGGAACCGTGAGTATGCCAATGTTGTATTTATCATGAGTAGCTCACTGTTATTAGCACTAATAGCACAGTCATTATAACCACATGCCTGCTGCTGATAGGCCACCTCAGGTTCTTTAACTATAATAAGAACTGGCATTATTAGTTCCCCCGACCCTGCTACTAGTGAGACCTGTTGGAGCTGAGCCATCCACTGGACAGACATGCTTCAGCTGCCAGCCCTCCACCAGACTATCAGAGGTATTCCAGTCCCACAGTTTCAACAATTAGATAGCAACAGCACATAGTCATCATATAGGGAAGGGATTGTACATTCAGTCAAGTCGACCTATGCACTGTATATTCCACACCTCCAACTTCTACTCTTTCTTGCTGGAGATAGACAGTGAGTCACTCTAATTAATTGCCACTTACTGTAAAGAAATGTGGTAAAACGCACCAAACTGTCTGGATTATAGTTGTACTTGTAAGACATCACTTTGGGCTTCCCTGGGTGTAAATATCATAATTATAATAGTTCAATAAAATGTTAGGAAGTGCTCATCCAAAATGAATGAATGTGAAATGTCTTGTTTAGTCTGAAAGAGAGCAAATTGATGCTCTGCATTCACTGAAATAAGCTGCAGCCAATCTCCCATGTCCTCTTGATTAATGATCTGTCTGACTGATAGTTAACTAGTATTGTCGAACTGCCAAAATCACACATCAGTCACTCACACAAAGACTGATTCGCTCATTTGTTATATCTTAAATAAAACATTATTAACATTTAACTCATTGTGTACATTGCTTACCAATTAATTTGTGTTAATTTGTCCATTCATCAAGCAACTGTTTCAGCTCTAAATTAATTACATAGTAATGACACACACACATGAACAAAAGTACCATAGTCATTTCTATGATTATTATTTTTTATCATTAAAATCATGAATATCATTATCTTATTATATTCATAATTCACAATTTGTCTCATATAGGTCTTCACATCACCTTTAATCCTCACCCATGGAGGATGGGTGTGTTTCCTAATGCAAGCATATACATGATAAATAATATTGGGCTGAGCACAGAACCCTGAGGAACCCAGGAATTTGCTTTAGAGTGTGCAGATGACTCATTGGAAATTTGTACAAATTGCAATTGATCTGATAAACAAGATTTAAACCAGCTTTAAACCAGTCTCTGTAGTAGGATGTGTTGAATAGAGCTGAGATGGAATAGAGCTGTGGCTCCCCGTCAGCCTGACTACAGTGCTGAATAGAATAGGTTTGTTTTTATTTTCCTCTATTGATGCATGGTAGCAGGCTATTGCGGGTATTCTTCTATATTTTAAGACGTCCAGGCTAAGTGAATTTCATTAAGATTGTTCCTTTCTAGTATTTTTAAGTTTGCTTTATTTCAATTTATTTAATCCATGCTTATTGGAATTATACCAAAGCGCTCATTTCCTATGTTTTGAGCTTCTTAAAAGGTGCTATAGAGTTAATTGTAAATGGTCTGTATGGTGTATATTTATATAGCTCTTTTCTAGTCTTGATGTCGGTGGAAGGTTTTAAAGGACGCTTTTGTTATATTGAGGCATATGGTATTGAGTTATATGTTGATGAAATGATTTCCTTAAATTTAGCTACAGCACTATCAGACTGACATCTTGAGAGAGTTTAAATTTTTTTAGCATGTAGTCCAAAAATAAGACTTAGATTATGTTGAAGGATTATTATATGTTCAATTTTAATGCCATATGTCAGAACAAGGCCAAGGGTGTGGGTTGATGTACACACTGACTGAAACCAACTGAGTCTAAATTTAGTTAATATTGAAATAAACTATCTAGCTATTATTATCAATGTCAAATCACCTACAATAATTACTTTGTCTGCTTTAAGGGATATGTTTGATAGGAAATAAAGAAAGACAAATAAAAGAAAAAAATGTCTTATGAGTTTATGATGTGTTTATGTGGTAGCTTGTATTTTCTGACAGAGCAGTAAATATTCAATTTATCAGAGCAAGACCGTATTCCTGTGATGAGGGGTCAGTGGTTCATCGATGGAACGTGGCTTCCCCTGGAGGAGGATGAGAGTGACCTAATCGAGTTGGAGCACCTCACTTGTTACCGGGGGCAACAGATGAGGGACACGTATGAGATGGAAGCGGTTACCACCACCGTGGACAGCAAGGATGGTGAGGACTATGAGACAGGTGTGTGGATAAAAACGGACCCAGAGAGATTTGTGTGTGGCAAAGAGGATAAAAGCATGGTTTGAGGTGACCTATTGAGTGTGTGTGTATAGATGCATCAAGAGTGTCTGTGGGTGTGGCTGTAGCTCTCCTAAGGCCAAAAAACAAGTCGTGTGATTTATTGTAGTAGACTGGCTGAACCAACAGGATGCTTAAATGAGTGTGTTTAAAATCTGTGAAATTACTCGTCACACACATACACACATCCTGCACATTCTCATGTGGAATGGTAAATTAATTATGCTGGCACAACTGTGTCACTTAATGTTAATCACAGTGTGACCGTGTTGCAGCAATCCACAGTCTGAAGCTGAGCAGGAGTCATGTGGACTGGCACAGTGTGGACGAGGTGTACCTGTACAGCGATGCCACCACCTCCAAGATTGCACGCACCGTCACTCAGAAACTGGGCTTCTCCAAAGGTAGATGAAAAAAAAACATTCTATTGTGAACGGCAGGAGTAAAAGGCAAGATACCCGAGCCACCGAAGCATTTGAACTATAAAATAGACAAGGAAGAATCGTCAGAACAACACGTCTGTCAAGCTGTGCCTAAAAGTGCATGGCGCTGTACCTAAAAATATCCTTGTGGGGAAATGGGCTTGCCAAGCAGCATTCTGTGACATTACTTTGATGTCACCTAACACCAAAGTAGACATCACAGCAAGTACAGTTTAGAATAACTTGGAGGTCTTGGTTGGGGTTTGAACAACCGCTGATTGAAAACACTACTACACAGTCTACGCTGCACTTCCCTCAGAGACACATGGTGGTGAGGTTTGAAGTTGAGTGGATTAATGGTTGTAGAGAAAATGTATGACAGACAGACAGACATATTGATTTCTGGAATTATTAGGAAGATGAACAGGGACAAAAGAGATGCTGCTGTGGAATTTTCTACAAATCATCATGTCACTTTTCTTTACTGTGAAAGCCACAGACTAATTCCATTCTCCTCCACTCTAGTTGCATGGAGGCAGAAATCTCTGAGACACATCTCCAAACCAAAACGATTGGACTGGAGTGATACCGCCAGGGAAGAGAGGAATCATTTTATTTCGCCTGACCCTTAAATAAAGTATGAATAGATTTGTTAAAGTTGAACTGCAGTTTTATCTCAGGGTACGGAACATCTATGGTGCACATACAATTCAGGGATACACATGGACATGTGCTGTAACATGGTTTGCTTGTTGGTGTAGAGGGGTGTCTGAGAAAAGCTGATGTCTTGTGGCTAGGTTTTTGCTTTGGTCACTTTAGGTAAGTGGTCATTAGCACCATAACATGCCGTGTAGTAATCTAACTATGTGCCTTCTCATGTCCTCAGCCTCGAGCAGCGGGACACGTCTCCATCGGGGGTATGTGGAGGAGGCAGCACCGGAGGACACCCCACCTGAAACCACACACATTGTCTTCGTTGTGCATGGCATTGGCCAGAAGATGGACCAGGGCCGCATCATTAGGAATACCAGCATGTGAGTAATGGAGAATTTTCTAGCAGGAACCCTTACTCTAGACTTGAATGGAATCAGAGAACTCTTGAAGTCACTGTTTTCTCTTGGCTTGTGAGCAGGATGAGAGATGCTGCCAGGAAGATGGAGGAGAAGCACTTCTCTGATCGTACCACAGAGCATGTAGAGTTCCTCCCTGTGGAGTGGAGGTCGAAACTGGCTCTGGATGGAGGTATGCTGCACCTCAGTTTATATTGACCCATCTCTTCACCTTGTAAATAGAAATAAACTGGGATTGATTCAGAAGTAGCCAGACACAAGCAGGACCAAATGTTATCCATGGTTACCATGACATTGTAAAATTTACAGAAGCAACAACGATCACGACTGTTTAATAAAATAGTTTATAAAAAGAGGTTCACACACACACACACGCACACACACAAACACACACACTGACTGTGCTCTCTCTCTCTCAGTCACTGAGACTGACTCGCTACAGTTTATACATTGCTTACCAATTAATTTGTGTTCATTTGTCCATTAATCATTCAACTGTTTCAGCTCTAGATTAATTACATAGTAAATGACACACACACACACAAAAAAATACCATAGTCATTTCTATGATTATTATTGTTATCAATAATCTCATTATCTTATTATAATGCCAAGTTTGTTGATCGAATGATCATTCATTCAATCAATCAATCAATCAAATTTTATATGTACAATCTAATTTGATAGTTCACTGAAAAATAAAAATGCACTCATTATCTACTCACCACTATGCCGATGGAGGGGTGGGTGAAGTGTTGCAGTCCACAAAAGACTTTATGCCGTTTTGAGTCAAATTTAAATGTTTACGGACACTTGGATGAAACCACAGGAGCAGTATGGAAGCATGTTATGTTTTTCTGTTGTTTACTTATGTTTGAGTAAGTGTTGTATTGGACTTGGCTGCAACGCTGTTTACCCCCTAAACTCCAGAAGTGTTTTGTGGACTCAAACACTTCACCCACCCCTCCATTAGCATAGTGACTCTGGTGAGCTTTTTGGGTGAACTATCCCTTTAACAGTCAGCAAGGTTTGAGCCTTCCATCTTTGGCTGGGTGCAGTGTTTGTGTATGTCAGATAACCAGGTTATCCTACTGTAACAGCAGGGTCAGTAAGAAAGAAGGTTCTTTGTTCTTGGAAAAGATGTCTCCTGTTCCTGCCAGTGCAGGACACAGCAGAGGGAGAAAGAATTTACTGTGAAGGCAGGTTCTGTTGAAGACATTACATCATGGACCACCAAGTTAACAAAGGCATACTGGAAATACTGATTCTTAGGGTGGAGCTCAAGTGGAAAGGTGAGAAGTGGAGGATTGTCGTAAACAGAGTGGATGTGGAGGCATGTGGAGTACCGACATAAGAATCACAGTTTTTCATTAGAATATGAAACAGTATTAAAAAGCTGGGTTGGATATATTTTCATGTTCTCCCTTTAGACACGGTGGACTCCATCACTCCGGACAAAGTGCGAGGTCTTAGAGACATGCTGAACAGTAGTGCCATGGACATTATGTACTACACCAGCCCTCTGTACAGAGATGAGGTAAGCCTGAGATAACTCGTACTTCCACTTCGACAGTGCTGCTGCACATGGTCACTCAGCTGTCAGTTTGGGAACGTTAGTCGGAAGTGATCCTCTCAGTCACAACGAAATCCTGGCTAAACTGTTTTAATCCAACACAGCTGTATACCACTGAATCAGGGTTGATATCCTGCCATGGAAATAATAGAATAATCAATGCTCTGAAGGATCAAACATTCCTTATTAACCCAATTAAAAATAGCAACAGAGGTAAAGTGAACATGAGTGTCATTTGTGTGTGTGTGTGTGTGTGTGTGTGTGTGTGTGTGTGTGTGTGTGTGTGTGTGTTCATTCAGATCACCAGGGGTTTGACTCTGGAGCTGAACCGTCTCTACTCACTCTTCTGCTCACGCAATCCAGACTTTGAGATAAACGGGAAAGTGTCCATAGTGTCACATTCGCTGGGCTGCGTTATCACCTTTGACATCATGACAGGCTGGGACCCTGTGCGCTTTCATTACCAAGAAGCGCCAGACCCAGAGGAAACAATCGCTCGCTGGCCAAGTGATGAGGAGCGCCACCTTCAGGAGCAGTTGAGACTCACACGCCTCAGGTACTGCACAGGTTTTTATTCTGGAAGAAGTGAGAAGTTTGATTCCACACCTGTTCTGACTGCATGGGATATGTTGTCTTTAAAACACAGTGCCCAAAGCTATATGAGAAAAGAACGAGAAATCGTTAAGTAAGCAATTAACAAAAAAAGATTTTGTGACATATTTTTCTATAAATTTAAACACTTGCTGTGCAGGCATGAAGGTGCCATGCATTAGAGTAACTCTGAATATCTATCATCCCACCAGGTTAAGGGACTTGGAGGACCAGTTCCAAGGTCTACAGACCTCATCTTGTGTTGCAGTGCCAGCCTTGAAATTCAAGGTAACACTGACAAGTTAGATGGTACTATATCTGTCACCAATGGTCACCATCTATTTTCTATTCTGCACATGTCCTACATATGATGACAGCTACTAACCTGATTCAAACTACGAACCCTCTGATTTACGCTGCAAATCTTCTAATTCAAGCTACAAACTTCAGACCTTCTGATTCTGTGTGTGGTCACTGTGTGGATTGTGTTCCGTGTGTTCCGTGTGTGCTCCGTTCACACGGGTGGATTAAATACAGAGGTCAAATTTCCCCATGTTTGCATGTTGCATTCTGTGTGTGGGACCATAAAGAGGAATCTTAATCTTAATCTTAATTCAAACTACAATCCTGAAGCAGACTACAAATTTCTGATTCAAACTACAAACCTGAAGCAGACTATAAACTTCTGATTCAAATCACAAACATTGTCTGAGAAGTATCCCAACTATATCAGATGTACAAACACTGATGCAGTATTTGCATATGAATATGTGTTTACTAAATTATTACTTTGAAATACTTTTATTTGGAAAAATATGGTAAAATGGTCTGTATTTATGTAGCACTTTTCTAGTCTAGATGACCGCTCAAAGCTCTTTACAATATATGTAGCTTGAGTAAAGAGAGAGCAGAAATCCATGAACAGAGGGATGCAATCAGACATATATTTACGAAGATTTGATTAGCTTGCATGTACACATGCAGTGAAACCTTGAGGTGACCTAGCACAGCAGTTCTGCAGCTGCAGTTCTTTGTAAGTGGCCAACAAGCATCTCGGAGCAGCTATGGTCGGACGGTTTTTCAGGTGAGGAATTTCCCTTGTTCTCGCATCTTAAATCAACCCTATTCTCTATGTTGCAGGTAGAGAATTTCTTCTGCATGGGCTCCCCTCTGGCGGTTTTCTTGGCATTACGAGGGATCCGGCCTGGAAACAATTGTGTGCAGGACCACATCCTCCCTACATCTATCTGCAAACGCCTCTTCAACATATTCCATCCCACAGACCCTGTGGTAAGTTACAGTGTCCTCAACTGATTGTGTCCCTATTCTGCTCACTTGATACAATATATGTATGTATGTGGTGATGTTATATTACACTACAGAATGATGAAAATGAGGTGACATTCTGAGTATTACATTAAAATGAAATCCTGAGAATGAATGTGATAAATCCTCCTCTAGCATTTACATCTGTTTGTTTCAGGCCTACAGATTGGAGCCTCTGATCTTAAAACACTACAATAACATTACCCCTGTTCAAATCCACTGGTAAGTCATGTGGTTATACAGTATATGAGAAATAATTTGATGCTTATTTAGGAATTCTCTTGTGAATTTAGCAAATGCATCGAGGCTGACATGTATTCATCCACAGTTTCCATCTGTCTCTCCTTCTCTTTGTCTGTTATTTGTGATTAACAAATAATTTACAATAAGAGTACAGATATATTGAGCTGTATAAATCATATGATCATGGTTCCTTCTGTCTGTTGTGATGTAGCCCAGCTGTGACTAAAGCTACAGTATTCTCACTTTGATGAAATCAGAGCTGAAAACAGAATGAGGACTGCAGTGTATGTGTAAGTGACCTGAGGTTGATATGAATTTCATGTGCAGGTACAACACCACCAGTCCGACACCATATGATCAGATCAGGCCCACACTGCTCAACCCCCCGAAGGAGAATGCATCTGTCTCAGACTCTGAGAGCATCCCCAGCCCCTGCACCTCCCCACCCCAGGCCAGAAGGCACTACGGAGAGTCTATTACCAACCTGGGCAAGGCCAGCATCATGGGTGAGTACACATAGAGGGTTATGGCTACATGGAAGGCAGATGCAGTTGGATATAAGGATGATATAAGTGGAAGTCTGTGTTCTTTCGAAGAACCATTGTAAGAAATAAAATACAACTTACAGGCTACCAGATCTGAGCTTAGAGAAACAGGAGCTACTTCCATTGCTGATATGGTAGCAGGGTAAGCAGTGGGAAAAAAGCTTTGTCTAAACAAATCAATAGAAGCAATTAACTTCTATCTCCTGGATTGACAACATGATGTTACTTCTCCTTAAGGCATCAGATGGCAAGTAGAGACTAAAATCAGGCCTCTTGAAATTGATGAAAGATGTTTTGTATTGTATGGCAGCTGCTGTTACTCTTAGATGTCCTCTACTCTACACAGCACACATAAAAAGCTCTTTCTTAATAACTAATTTAATTTATGCAAACTGTTCTGCATCATTCATTTTTCCAACCTTTATATCCTGTTAAGCCCTATAAGGTAAATTGTGATTTGTCAATATGTGCTATCTACTAATTCCACAAATGTCTGTCTGTATGTTGAATATGTCTGCAGCAGTGGTCAGCAACTGAATCAAACGCATGTAATGAAATGTATGAAAAAATAACACCAATCTAGACAATCATTCAAACTTATATATAAACCACTCACATGAACATTAATTTAAAAAACACAAAGTTCACCAACATAGACCAAAAATAGAAAGCTCACGCAAACAAAACAAAAATTGACATTATTTGCAGAATTGTTTGAGGACTCACTAATGACAAGGGATAATTCTGAAGTAGCTCCGGAGCATGACCACTGGTCAAGAGAACAGCCCATTCCAAACAGGCAGGTTAAGAACAGGCACAGCACTAATACAAATATAATTTGATTTTTGAGAGATGGAGGCTGGTGCCAATCCCAGCATACATTGGGCCAGAAACAGGATAGTCTCTAGACAGGACAGCTGTGTATTACACGATTAACACACACAGACAAATTCATAGCTTCAGGCAGGTGAGTTGTAACTAGTAGAGGTCCGTGAAACACTGCTGTCCAGTCTGCTGTTACCTCTCCTCTCAGACCTGGTGAACCAGTTCCTTAGAACTCTAAGGAATACAGTACAGGCATTTGGATCCAATTCTGTTTGTAAATCAATCAAAAATTATTTGTACAGCCCATATTTACAAATTCCAATTTGTCTCATAGGGCTTAATAAGGTGCAGCGTGGCTTCGCTCCACAAGAGTAAGGAGAAACTACCCCCAAAATAATTCAGAAACCTCATAGAGAGCTTTGTGTGAGAAATCCCTCACCCAAAACAGACAGAAGTGCAATAGATGCTGTAAATTAATTCAGCTTATTAAAGGTGATGTACAATATACTGTTTTTGAAATTGAAATTACATTTTTGTGATGTATGAATCTTGCTGCCTCTCAGGTGCTGCAAGTCTTGGGAAGGGAATAGGAGGAATCCTGTTTTCCCGCTTTTCCCGTTCCAGCAGCCAGGTGGGTGGAGTGGAGGAGGAGCCGTCAGACTGCGAGGGTGGAGCCTCTGAAGTGGAAAATGTGGCATTGGGAGAGGAAGGAACGGCAGTGGTAGACAGTGAAGAGAAGGACAAACAAGTAGAGGAGGAAAGGAGGGAGGTGGAGCCAACCATGTCCCAGTCCACCTCGGCTGTAATGGACAGCACCTCGTGTAAGTACTGTGTGTTTGGTGTGAGAAACAGGTGAACTCACTGGCTGTTGGGGACAGAAGGTCAAATTCCATTGTACCTACTCTGCCTCTGTCATGAGGTTTGAGCCATTGTCCCATTCATATTTTTCTTAAGATCTCTTTGATCCAGTTCCAATGTCCCTGCAACTGTAGCACCGATACCTCTGGCCAGGAATCTTGCCCACCCTTTAAACCGTGGTGCAAACATTTAAACACCTTGCAGAGAGAACCAGGATCAGGGAGGAACTTAGGAGAGGGGGCACCCAAGGCTGCTGACCACCTGCTGTACCACAGTTCCGCCCTCAGGGTGTGGTGGATGCCAGCTGGTGACAGCCTGTGTGCATCTGTGCCTGACTGTGGTATGAGTATTCAACAGCCCACTTCTGACCACAGCTAGTTGTGATGAGTCTGGAAGGGGGATCATTGGGCCTCTGTAATATTTCCATCTTGACACAATAGATTCATGGATGTTTCAAAATCATAGATCCTTACATTTTACTTGGCTTCATCCAATCTGGATTGCTAACTTTTTTGTTGTTGTTTTATAGTGTGTTCACCATCGACTGATGTTCATAAAAAATGTCCAGATAAATAGAAACTTAAATAATAAAAAGATATATTCTGTGAGATAAGTATGATTTCACTTTAAAAAAGAACTAGAAGGGATAGTTAACCGTAAAATGTACTCATTATCTACTCACCACTATTCCGATGGAGGGGCTGGGTGAAGGTGTTTGAGTCCACAAAACACTTAAGGAGTCTTAGGGTTAATCAGTGTTGCAGCCAAATCCAGTGCAATTTAAATAAATGTAACCTCTTCTTCAGATGTAATAAAACAACAGAAAAAACACAAAAATTAACATGCCTCCATACTGCTCGTGTAGTGTCATCCAAGTGTCTGTAAGCTCCGACGTTCATATCCGACTCAAAACAGCGTCATTTACACCATGTTTTGAGCCTAGGTCCTCTGATATTGCATTCACGTATGGATGGACACACCGGAAAACCGCATACACTCTTGCCCAAGGGCACGCACTGGGTGCGCAGTCTTGTGGCTACGTCCACTAGCATTGCCACTTCCAGCAGTGGACTTTTAGGTTTAAAAAATGGTGTAAAATATGCTGTTTCGAGTTGAATCTGAATGTCGGGGCTTACGGACACTTGGATTACACCTCATGAGCAGCATGGAGTTATGGTATGCTTATTTTTCTGTTGTTTTGTTACTTCTGAAGAAGACACTGTTTACCCCTAAAACTCCTAAAGTGTTTTGTGGACTCAAACGCTTCACCCGCCCCTCCATCGGCACAGTGGCAAGATGTGACAAAGTGGAAGAAATGTGTAGAAATAATAAGATAATTTGTTCTTGAAGAGATTATATCTTTGTGCCATTTTTATGATTTATGAATATTCTGCAGAGTAACATCTAATCTGAACCGACACAGTGATGTGGGTCAAACCTTGTTCGTCCGAATGAGTCCTCTTGACCATAATGCACCAAAAACTTGTGCTATCGATGGGATTATTAGCAGAGTCAGTACAGTTAAGACTGGTTGAGTAGAATACACAGACTTAATTAGATGACAGTGAACAGTGCAGACAAAAATATCTTTGACACTTACATGCTGGATAATGATGTGTCATTTTCTCTGTTGCAGTGGAATTGGAGAGACGCATCGATTTCGAGCTACGGGAGGGCATGGTGGAGAGCCGCTATTGGTCAGCAGTTACCTCACACACAGCCTATTGGTGCTCTTATGACGTGGCTCTTTTTCTCCTTACCTTTATGTACAGACCACAGGAACCACTTGAACCTCCAGAAGATAACCAAGATGCCTCGTAACATAAGTGCAGAGTGACGCATGGATTCATTAACCCTTGGGTCAATTCACTTTCTATTCATGCCTCTTGAAGTCTAAACTGACTGACCTCATTCCTCCTTGTACAATTTTCTTTATACATAATTTGCTTTAAAGAATGATGGTACACTATATTCATATTGTTATGAATATTGGTTTTGGAAATGTGGAATACTGGAAGACCAATTCTTATTTTAAAGATGTTTTCATTTTAACTGTAGATACATCTATTCTGTTTCCTGATATCATTTTATCATGTTAATCGCACTAAAGGCTGCTGCACACTAGAGGATAATTGGGACGATTTTAAACCCTATTTGTCCCTTCTGACAATTGTGGGGTGGTTCCAGATTGGACACCAGTTGGTGATGATTATCTGCCCAAATAATCCTCAAGTGTGAGGGGTTTACAAAATAATCTTGGTGCTCTAGATTGGTTGGAGCCTCCTCAATCTTGAATCATTGAAAACATGTCTAATATTTATGATAATTGCCACCAACAGAGTACTGAGCAAACCTGCATAGCCAATGCGTGCATGCTTACTGGGAAGTGAAACCAACCTGATATTGCCACCTAGGGCCTGGTCTACTGAAGGTTTGCGCATGTAAAGCGTGTGCAAAATTGATTTCACCAGCAAAAAAACTTCTACTAACGGAATAATGTGCACTGTTCATTGAGTTTGCCTTAATAAATATGCAAGTGCACAAAATATTGAGAGAAGTAGATGCAAATTCAATGCAATGTGATTTACAAAGCCTGAAAATAATTGCGGTGATTGTGACTGCGTCTATATTTATTACGTTTGAAAGGTAGGTGCTAATCGGCACAGTGTTACACATAGATGGCTGCAGTTATTGTGATGAGGAGGAGACAGTAGGAAGAAAAAGGTGTGGTGTGTGCTCTGTGTGCGCTACAATGGCCCGAGTGTCGCGCCTGTGCTCTCCGTAATGCTCCATGTCAGAAACCAGTAACGCACGCAAAACACTCATTGAAATACTGCTGCCTCTACCATGTTTGCACCTATTAACATTTGCGCAATTCATTTTAGTAGATCACCCGCATAATCAGAACACGTCAACCAAACGTGTAATATGTTATAATGCACATGCAATTTAGCACTCCTTATTAGGGATCTTAGTAGATCAGGCCCTATGTTGCTTATAAAAACAACAACACACACACCAACTAACTTCCAGCTTGCGCTGCAAAATTTATTTATTTATTTTTTCGCTGCTAAATGGAACACATAACATCAGTCCTCATCCATTTTTGCTTTTCACGTTTAACTTCACAAGTTTTTCACACTCCAGTTCAGAAAGTAGTGGAAATCGTTTCCTACAAATGGCAAGTGTATGGTCTTACCTTCTGGACAAATTATCTCGAGTGTGCTTTCTGACTATTATACTATAAAAAATTTGTCAAATCTCTCATTATGTCTGTGGTCTCCAACATTTAAAAAAAAAACGGTTAAAGGTCCAGTGTGTAAGATTTAGGTGAAAGGGATCTATTGGCAGAAATTTTATATATCATAATAATAATAAAAATACGTGTTTCATCTAAATTGTATAAATTATTGTGTGCTTTAACCTAGAACGGGCCCTTTATATTATGAAATATTTACATCGGGAGGGGGTCCTCTCTCTCTCTCTCTACGGAGAATGCCATATTTTTTACGTGCAAACTGGACAAACTAAACACCTTTTGAGTTTTTATGACAACTGAAGTCTACCACAGGTTTTCTTGCATGTTTGGAAGAGGAGGGTGAAGTAACAGTTATTTAGCTGCAACATGCAACCTTACCACTAGATGTCACTAAAATTCTACACACTGAACCTTTAAGATTTGTATCCTCTAGTGTGCACCGGGCATAAAGAAGCTATAATTCAGATGAAAATGATATATGGAGGATATGTGCTGCACAAGTTACAACAGTCAACTTTGACAGCAGTACATATTTAACTTTAAATGAAATAGATAAACTCAAATGACTGTTTTAACAGAGACAATTGAAAATGAATTGACCTTACACTGACACACTCATACAAATCATGTATCTGTCCTACATCATCCCAGTCCAAACACTGTGAAATGGACTGAGCAGACTGGGTCCTGACTGCGCCCTCACTGAGGCCATCGTGTTTCCTGTGGACAGGATCCTGGTGTGTCAGATGAATCAGGGCTCCTGCTGACACTAATATTTCCCCACAGACCTCTCCTGCTCTGTGATTGTTAAAAACTGTAGCCACAGAGAAGCTGCCAGTGCTTTGTCCATGTCTAACCTCGAGTTTATGGGAATTAAGTTGAATCATTTCTCATAATCTTATATCTAAAAAGAGAAGATACAAACCCAATGTTATCCAACACGATGCCCTACACAGACCTATTGAATCTTAAAACCTCAATACTAAGTCAATATCTGAGTTAAAGCAGCATCAAGGGATTTTTGACCTTGTGGTGTGTTAACCCCAATTGAAATCAACAGACAAGTCGTTGTGCTCATTGACAGATGATTGTCACTTCAGTCCAATATTAGCAAAATCCTCACCTCTCTGTCAGACCAGAGTCAGTCAACAAAATAGTTTAGTATTGCAACAACTCAACAATAAATGGAGTGCATTTACAGACCTTTGCTAGTCTCAACAGCCACTCAAAGTGCTTTACACTATGATTCATATTTAAACGCTCATTCATGCAGCTCTTCTAGACTCACACATCTGCCATTAGGGGCAATTTGGACTTCATTGTTTTGCCTGTGGACAATTTGACACATGGTCTGGAGGCGAAGCTCATGACTCAGAGGTGATTGTGAGACTGGATATCCATGAAAAAATGATTACATCAGAGAATAGTTTTTCACATTTATTTATTGATCTTTGAGCATTTAAACTTTTTAAGGAATTGAAATCATACTTTGGCTCAAACCAGGCGTGATTTTGAATATGTGCCATGTACATAGATTATTGGCTTTGATTAATTGTGGCTGAGACAAGAAGACACGAGCAAACAGACCAATACTGAGAACCTGCTGATTCTGTTCGTTGTAGAAATTAAACATTCAAGCCTGCCATACATGAAGCTTCTAAGGGAATGTTTTTACATTTGTGTTCATTGTTGTGTTGTGATACACTTCCAGTCCTGTTGTTATCTTTGCTTTTCTCATGTTTGACGTATGTAGTTCAGACTGTAAAACTCCCGATTGCAAAGAAGAGAGGCCTTGACTCTGTACACTGATGTTCCGTTGTGACAATGAAACAATTTCTGACTCCAGAGCAGCTCTGCCTCAGAGGATGGGTTGTTCTGTAGTTCTGCTTTTTGTCCTCAGGCTGAATTAGCTGGTCTAAACTTTGTTCAGTCAGCTATGAGAAGAACAGTGGATCTAAGCCTGATTTGTTATTAAACTGCAAACCCACATTTCCTTTCTATTGTGTTGACATGTACCTCTTCTGCAGTAACAGTTCTGTTATGTTGAAAATGCTATTTTGATTTTGATTGTATCTGCTGTTTGTTCATTGACTGTTATTCAGTAGCTGCATTTCCATAGATCATTTTCTGTGACTTCATCATTATTTTCTATTAATATTTGAAAAAGTTCAATATCAAGGGAATACATTCACAGAGATTTAACAATCAGACTATCCTTTAAAATGTACTATCTCAGTGGGGGGGCTGCAAAGAGTAGAAATGAGTTATGGATTTTATATGATTTTTGCAGACATTGTTTTCTGGTGAAATGATCTCTCCTTCTCTACAGCATTATGTATATACTGATCAGCTCACATAAATATGTTTACAGTAGTAAAAACTGTCAACAATTTAAGTGAAATCACAAAGTTAGACAAACAATACCGCTCTAAGCCACATACAGTTATAGATAATAAGTGCCACAAGGATGAATGAGGCATCCACAACCCCCACCCTATATCACTTTGACTGGGCTGCATTGATTGGTAATTGAGAAGAACTGTTGGTGTTGAGTTGGTAGCTGGTGGTTACCCCCTCCCCCAGGACTTAATTTGTCCTTGTTTACATCTCCTTCTGTGGAGCACCCAAGGCCTACCACTACCTGTGCCAAATGTCAGCAACCCCATGTGTGGTGTACTGGTGATGTGATAGATCCCCTTTAATCAATCAATCAAATTGTGTTTGTATATCTCATAGGGCTTAACATGTTGTCACATCCTCAGTCCTTAACCCTCAACACGAGTAAGGAAAAACTACTCAAACCCCATTAACAGGGGAAAAAATGAAAATAAAATAAAGTTTTAATGTTCTGTAAATCAATATATGGTGAAAAGATATTTTGTGATAGGACACGACAGTACACTGTTTATTTGTTGTTGAAATGATTGCCATTCTGTTTCTCAATCCCTCTGTTTGTCAAAAGAAATGAATCTAATGTTACTTTGCTGCTGATCAGTGTGAAGACTGAGACATTCTAGAAAACAGGTCAGCTTCCTCAGCTGAGTGGACGGAAATACATGAATCCTTCTTTGTCTATTGTCATTCTCACCCTGTCAGCCCTCACTGTACTGTTACTACATGATGAAGATGATGATGTGGTGCTTTACCCTGATAGAGCTTTGATTTTTTTTTTACCCAAATAAAAGGGGAACTACACCTCCCCTACACCCTCTGGTCTCCATTCCTTCATTTTGTCCAATCCCATATGTTAGCTCCAGTCCTGGGAGGCTTATACAAGACAGCCTTTTCACAGGAAGCCCTGCTTATGAAACAGCCCTCTGTACAAACAGACACACACACGCACACACTTTCTCTTGAAGCTATTTAAACTGAGTTTTCAACCATAAACAACAACTTCTGCCTCTCAATAAATTACACACCACATTATGCTGAGCGATTAGATACTATACTATGTAGTAAATAATATAGTAGGTCATTATTATTTTTATTTCTTTTCTCTATTCATTCAGATGTTTTCATTATAACAAACAGTTTGGGTTTCCATAGAAGATCAGCAAACATTCACCACCCCTGCTAGTGCCCTCCCCCCCAACCCTGCCCCTTGCTCTGTCCATGAGACAGCTACTTATTGTTCTCTCTCTTCTAGCCTTTAACCACGTGCATGTCAACCTCTTGAAATGGGGTGAACTGTGGTGGATTTGTGCCTTCCCAGCAAGGCACGCCATTTGGTGTGCCGGGGTATTAATTCCCAGGAGAATCCTGGGAAATTCTGAGTTAAAAGGCTACTAACTGAACACCTAAACTTAAGGGACAGCCTCTTAGGCTCTGAAGCACAGCAAGAAGCAAGAGTCTATCTTTTCATTGGAGAAAAGGACAAGAACAGGTAGGCCATCCTAAAAGCCTTTTCACCTACATTTGTTGAATCATGTCCCATAGAAATCTAGGACATCGTAAAACTATTGAAAGGCGAGTTTAACTGTGGCTGTGGATAATTTAGTCAACAGACAGAAATATTAATTTAAAAAAAATCTTCGTAACAACAGCTGGAAATGGTATAATTTTTGAATATAGGATTTGTAATGCAAAACTCTGATATTATGAGAAATATGAATATTCCCAGAGCCTGAGATGACTTGGTCAGTTGTTGTGTTTTTTCCAAATGACAAAGCAAAGCTCAAAGGTGTTCAGTTTACTGTGACACATGCTCACAGTGTGGTGACCTCAACAATAAATGATTAAAAAACTCCTCATGATCAATTTTCTGTTCAGTTTGGCAGATCATTTCAGAAAATAGTTTTGTAACAGAGAAGTGCATGGGACTTGTTTTATAGATTTCAAATGAAGTTCATAAAATATCTTCTGTGAGGACTATGGACCTCACCCAATGTTCTTAAGAAAAAATGTGTTTTTTTTTTTCTCACATTCAACAATGTTTGACTGGTTCTTAGGTAAAAACCAAATCTACTTGCACTCAAAAGCAAACATTATATAGTTGCATAATAAGATTTAAACTATCACAATATTTTGTCATTTTTATCGAAAACAGATCGGTGCATTGCATTTTTTATTTTTGCAAATTTGTATTAATTTCTTTAAGTGTCTCAGACATTTTAAAAACATGCACATGTTCAAGAGGAGAACACTTACCCACAAAGATAGTAAACCATCTTTAGGTTTTACACACTGATATCTACAAATTTAACGTACCCCATGTTGCATGGGTTTAGTGCTACAGCGTTTAGTAAAATGTTCCATCCAAGTGTAGCCTGTTCATTCTAAAAAGCAAGTTCACTTTCTGATTCTGAGTTGAGCGATGACCCAGGAGATGCATCGTCACACAAGGTGCCCAAGTCTGTACCCACACTGATCCAGACTTTTTCTGTCTGAACTCGTCCGAGCCTGATAGAAAATGAACCAAGCAGAAATTCCTTTTTTTGTGTCCCAACCCGATCCCAGCCAGATAAAGTAATCGGCAACTGAATTCGTGTTACCCTGATCCCTGAACACAGATGGTTATTTTTTGTTTTCCTAGACATGTGCTGTGTAAAATATCTAGGAACTATCTTGAGAGAA